AGAAGCATCGTTAGTGGTTCTCCTCTCCTCCGCATGCTACAAGCAGATTCCCGGGGGGATTATGCCACTTGGAAAGACTAATTAAACCACAAAGAGAGGCGAGGGTAGGGGATGAGAAACGCCGGGGGGCGGCGGGGGGAAATAAATGGAAGCGTGATCCCCGGGAGCTCGGAGGGGTGCGTGGGGTGTCCGGGTGCTCCCCAGCCCCGGGTCCCCCCCGTGGGGGTTAACCGAGCGCGGTGATTGTCTGGCAGAGCTGCTGGCAGCCTGCAGCCCAGACGGGAGGTAATTAGAGCAGAGCCTGGCACGCACAATGAGCCGGGGGAACACCGCACCCTTTGTGGTGACCTTGCCCTGGAGGGGCTGGGGGGCACGATGGGCTGCGGTGGGATGCTCGGGGTGGGGGATGCTGCGGGTGCCGCCGTCCTCCTCCTGCTGAGCTGCTAAATGGAGAAGGTGCAAGGAAAAATAATAATTTTTAAACCACAACTTGCCTTGCTGGGGGGTCGCCCCACTAATTGTCAGATGCTGTGGAGTCTCTTGTCACCCCAAATTGTTCCCCTTTGCTAGGGGTCCCTCCCCAGCTGGAGGGAGTGACCTTCAGCCTGACACCGGGGGTGGAAGCTGATGGAAAGCGGCTCTGGTGATGAGGCCCTGTGGGAGGGTGCTGGTGCCGGGGGTGCCGGGGGGACTGTGGGCTGACCCCTGGGTTATGGCCCTTATCAAAGGCCGGCTGGATTTCCCCCGGCCGTGTCACTCCTCCCCGGATGATTAATAGCTCAGGAGAACAAAGCAGCCATAAATCTGCAGGCAGGTAATGGGTGTCTTGCCCTCAGCTCTGCCCTGGCTTCAGCACCTCCTTTCCCACTGGGGCCCCCCCGGTTTAACCTCCCAGACCCTCCCACCCCTCCAGCTGCCCTTCCAAAGCCTGGATGCTGGAGATGCCTTAGTGCATGGATCCTTCCCTGGGTACTGGTGCCAGCCAGGGCACACCGGGGACCTCCTGAGCGTCCTGGGGGTGGGGGCACAGGAGGGATTCCCCATCCCCTGCTGTCCCCTGATGCTCATCTCTTCGTTCCTGCCCCTTTGCCTTCCAGCAGGAAGCAGGGTCTCGAGGCAGCAGCAGCAGCGCCGGCCGCGAGCGCCTCATCTCGGAGCCCCCCCTGACGCAGGAGAAAGCAGGGGGTCCCACTGTCCCCTCCCACCTCCTGGGGACCCCCTACTCCTTCGGGCTGCCCCCCAGCTCCGTGGTCCAGGATTCCCGCTTCCCTCCTCTCAAGTGAGTCTGCTCGGAATGGACGGGAGCAGGGTGGAGTTGTCCCCTGCAAGCTCTGCTGCCTCCTGGGGGAGGTGACATCTCCCCAGGGGGACAGGGAGGGATGGTGACCATCTCCTTGCATCCCCCCAGCCTGCAGAGGCCGGTTCACCACGTGGTGCCTCCCAGCGCGGTGACCGAGGATTACCTGCGGAGCTTCCGTCCCTACCACACGGCCGAGGATCTCCGCATGTCCTCCCTGCCGCCCCTCGGCCTCGACCCGGCCACTGCCGCCGCCTACTACCACCCCAGCTACCTGACACATCACCCCTTCCCTCATCCTGCCTTCAGGTGGGCACCTGCCAGCCTTGGGATCCCTGGGAGATACCACTGGATGAGCTCTGGGGTACTGGGAGGTGGGAGCACGATCCACTGAGGGCATTTTGGGGCTCTGCATCCCTTTCTCCCAGTAGAAGGCAGCCCCCATCCGGCTCCTGGGAGGGGAACTGGGGGGTTCTTTGCCCCTCTGAGCATCCCTGTCTCCCCAGGATGGATGAGTCGTACTGCCTGTCGGCACTGAGGTCCCCCTTCTACCCGCTGCCAGCGCCGGGCTCGCTGCCCCCCCTGCACCCCTCGGCCATGCACCTGCACCTCTCGGGGGTCCGGTACCCCCCCGAGCTCTCCCACTCCTCCCTCTCCGCCCTGCAGTCCGAGCGCATCTCCAGCCTCGCCGCCGAGAGGTACGGGAGGGTGGGGGGATGGATGGGGCGCTCCAGAGGACGCTGACAGGGGGCCAGGGGTGGTTTTGGGGTGCTCTAGGAATGCTGACAGGTGACTAGGGATTTGGGAGTGCTGCAGAGGATGCTGGCAGGTGCCCAGGAATTGTTTGGGGGTGCTCTGGAGGTTCAAGGGTGTTCCTGGGGATGCTGACGGACTCCAGGGTTGATTTTAGGGGTGCTCCAAGGGAGGATGTTTGGGGTTGGTGCTTTTCTTTTTGGTTTTTCTCTGCAGGCTGCAAATGGACGAGGAGCTGCGGCAAAGGGAGCGGGAGCGGGAACGGGAGAAGGAGCGGGAGCGAGAAGCCGACCGGGAGCGGGAGAAGGAGCGGGAACGGGAACGGGAGCGCGAGAAGGAGCTGGAGCGGGAGCGGGAAAAGGAGCGGGAACGGGAGCTGGAGAGGCAGCGGGAGCGTGCCCGGGAGAAGGAGCTGAGCATGGTGAAAGCCATGGAGGGACCCTTCCTCCCCGTGGCGGAGCTGCACGGGCTGCGGGGGCACCCGGCC